TCCATCCTCTGAGATTCTTGGGTCTTCTGAGCCCAGCTTGGTCAATCTTTAGCCAGTTTAAATAAACCACTAGCAAAATAAGGCCCGGATCCTGAAGCTCTAACTCACATGTTTGGGTGAATCCCTGGCCCCGCTGAAGTCAATGGAAGTTTTACCGTTGACTTCAGCAGGGCCAGGATGTCACCCTTTGTCTTTGGATGGGTAAAAGTTGCAAAATAGGCCTTAAACTCCTAACCAGTCGGTCAAATTAACAATAACAGCTTAAGTGACTCAACACTATTTGTCACTTAATATTCTGACTGGCTGGACCTTTTTGATATCACACCCCTTATTTTTAAATTGCATGTTTAATGTATAAAGAAAGTACATGTTTGCGTTACCAAGGCAGCTGGGGGACGGGAGAGAGAGAATCTAGAAGAAAAGTTAAAAGTTTTCAACTCACTTCATCTGCAAATTACCAAAGGCCCTGTAGGCAGGAGGGTATAAACCACCAGCTGTTTCCAACTGCATTTCTGCTATAAAACTGATGGGTCTGGGTCTGGAATCCTTTCCCCTTCTAGTCATCCCAGTACATCGTGCAATAAAGGCCACCTTTGTAATTGCCTGTCTTAAGTTTCATCAGCCTCCCCCTTTCCATTCTCTTGTTTGTCATACTTGTCTCTAATCAAGGCAGGGGCTTTCACTTATGATTTGTTTTCACAGTGTGTAGGATGGTGGAGCCCTGACCCTATAGTGCTAGATGCTATTGCAATTAAAAAAAACACCACTGTTTGTGCATTGGGGTAGAATAGCTCGACACCTGCCCAGGATGTTAAGCTACAGGGACAGGCTACAGGAGACTTGTCTCCTTCCATTGCCATCACAACCAGCGCAGAAAGATAGCCAGCCTTCTTGTATTATCTCTTCCTGCACTGCATATGTGTGCATACACTTACCTTAAGTGCTGTTACTGCATCTTGATAGATGGTGCTTGGATGGTAGCCCCTGGGTGATGTTAGGTTTGTAAACATTTTCTAAGCCCAGAATCTGATCTTAGAAAAGTTGATTATTCTGCCCATTTTTCTACTCTGGCAAGCCACAGAACATTGCACTTTATAAAGCCTGAGTACCAACTAATTTATTTGGACAGAGGCCAAGGCTGGAAAATTTCAGCTTGAAAAGTGACTGAAAAACAGGTGGCTAGAATAGAAATGCTTAAACCACCTTTGTGATAATAGTCAGTAGTGTTCCTGCAGTATCTGGTGCAGCTTTGTCTCTTGGAGATCATGACTTGTAGATCTGTCATTGCCATAGTGGTTTGACTTCCCCCTGCTCCTTCCCACCAACTAATTGTAGTTAGAATTATGTAAGAGACAATAAAAGATCCAGCTTCAAGTGTGTGGCATTAAAAATTACTCTTCATTTCCAAGTAAGGAAGTAACAAACCTACTTATTTCAGAGTGCTTATATTTTGCTCCCTATTTTCTGTAACTTATTAGAATATTTGCATTTTCCCCCTTAACTCTTTTTAGTTGTCTTCATTTTTTTAAAAAAAGTAATTGTTCACACTGGGGGGTGGGGGGAGTCGCTAAACTCGGGGCCCAATCTAACACAACAGGAGCAGCAGCTGCTATCTTACCCTAAGCGTGCCCCTCTGTGGAATCCCACAGGGCTCAGTTCTGTCATCCTTTTTTGCCCAACTCTTATATCAGAGCTCTGGAGAGGTTCAGTGAATCTGCAGATGACCCCTAGCTCTGTGTTTGCTTTACAAATGTGCACAGTACTGTTTCCTGGTTTCTGAATGTTATTGGAACTAGGATAAAAAGCAGCTGCCCAAACTAAATCCAAATTAGATGGATGTGATGGTAGTAGGAAAAAGCAAGCACTTTAAGGAACTGACAGGAGCTGTGACTTCATTTTCTATCCAGGACATCTTAGCGGTGGTGATATTGGTGCCTGGTCTCAAAGACCTGTTTGATTAATCACTGTCTGGTTACCCAGAATGGAAACAGTGACCAGAGATTCCTTTGTCATCTTCCTCTAACCAGACAAGTATGACTTTTTTTCTTGGTTATGGATCTAGTTGTAGGGATCACTGTGAACCTGCTTAGTGTTCTCCTTAGGTTGTACTGTGAAAGCAACATGGAAGCTGCATCTGATACATCAACCTGTGGTCTATGTACTAAGAGGGATAAATGAGAGCACATATTTCACTGATGCTCCATGCTCTACTTCGAAGTAGCACCATGAGAATCTAATGCAAACCAGAGTAGTGGCACTGATTTTTAAGCCCTTTAATGGGATAGGGCCCAGATATCTGTGTGTGTCAGCCTCTTCTCTGTGGCAGCTATTGATGGGAACTCTGTGACTGACAGTCCTCAAGAGGAAACTCTAGGGACTTGGGTCAGGACCTGTTCTTTTGGCTGTGGAATTTCCTACCAGGAGATCAAGATGTGCCAGAGTCAAGATGAGATACTTTTATAGCACAATTGTGATAATAGCTATAAAAAATGGACAGTAACAATAATTATGTACTTCAGTGCAATATAAGTCTGATTTCCTGATACAACAAACACAGTATGTTTTCTGTGCTTCAGGAGCTGTTTTCTCACGCTGAGAAACAGCTGGCCTGCTAACCACAAATTCCTGGTGCATGGTGAAAGAGGAACCCCCCCTTTCCCTTTTGTGATCCAGTTTCCAAAGAAATATATAATTGTATATGTTATTAGTAGTTATTATATCATGTAAAATATAACCCCCCCCATTTCTATCTGTTAGTAATATACTAGCTACAGCTCTTCCTCCAAACATGTCCAGAATTACCATAGAGTCTATGGTAATTCTGGACATGTTTGGAGGAAGAGCTGTAGCTGGTATATTACTTCAAGATTTCATGTCCACCTATTAGAGGATGGACTAGTGGAGGGAAAAGTACTGATAGATAAGTATTCTATGTTAATATGACCCTACCTTAACTCTGCAGAACTATAGGGGAAATCCCACATCAGTCCCCAGAGTAAGCCCAGCTCAGCTGTTTATGGTTTGACAGATCAGAACAGCACTACCAACCAGAAGGGAAAATCTTTATCCTAAGTAGAGGCAGTGAAACACTAAATCTAAGAGATCTTGGGCTCTCTTCTTTGATCATTGGGATACAGCCCAAAATGTACCCTGGCCCTAGTAGGAAGAATACTGGCACCACAACCTTAATGAAGGGAGATTATCCTGTTGAAGTGTTCTGAACCTACTGGACTGGAGTCTACTTCTTTTGGGAATTTGATATCGGTGAATCAATTGGAGGAAACTTTTCTCAAGGTCAGTAGATGATCAGATCTGGATGGCTGACAAAGCCAGTGACTCATTTGTATTTATAATTTAGGATTTTGAACTGAGCACTTGTTGATTATACAGGATGTGTGTGTGTTTGTTGTCTCTTAAGTCTGTAACAGGAAGCCAAGCAGTAGTGGGGGCTGCAGATAGTTTTACTGAGAAGCTCCACAGTGAGACCAAAGAAGACAGAAGCTAGCATTAGCAATAATACTGTTTTCTTTATTATAATAAAGTTCTTTGTTCCACAGTGGATTTGATTTAAATCACTAGTCAGGAAGACTCGATTTAATCATGGATTTCTACATAAAAGTGCATTCCTGTTGTTTGTTATAACCTTAATACATACTCTTCACAACTCAGAGATAGATGTAGTTTTCATTTTTAGAAGGTACACGCTATACATTTTTAAAGTGTGTTTTTTTTAAACTTTTCATATTTAGTTTTACAGCTATATCAGAAAATGAATGATTGTTTTGTTATTTCACTTACCAAAGGTAATTGAAACAGATCGTTCACCTCCCAGTGACTTCATAAATATCTCCAATTCAACAGGTTAATCATTAATATTTGCAGGATTTTCTTGCCATGTTGTATTAAGAGGAGAACATCATCAGACAGACATTTAAATTGTTTTATTTAACTAAAACAACAACATTAAGTATTCTGGATTTTTTTCTTCAACAGCAATAATATTTTAACAAAACAAGTATATGAATTTTTGAATTTTGAATTTAGTTAAACATTCAAGTTTTTTAAAACCTCCCTCTCCCTCCTGGAGCGTGCTAATGCTGCCAAACAGCTGTTTGGCGGCGGCTGGGTGGGAAGCGCTGGGAGGTAGGCAGAGGAGCGGGGACGCGGCACGCTCGAGGGGGAGGAGGAGGTGGGGCGGGGGTTATGGGGAGCTTGGCTGCCGATGGGTGCAGATCATCCACTAATTTTTCCCCGTGGGTGCTCCAGCGCCTATGCAGTCAAGTTGTGTGAGTCTTAAACTGAAAACCCAAGACACCTGTTGAACAATCCATATGTATGCAAATGTAGATACCTCGATCATAATTATAAATGTGTTCTGTAATTGGGTTTGAGTAGAATTTATGAGACTGCATGGTAAAAATCCCAAACTACATCTTATATAGGTACTAATCCATTATGTTTTAATTGTAGTATTTAGCTAAGTTCCACTGTTCAGATTACTTCTTTTGTGGGTGAAAATGGATTGCAGAAATCATGGTGCTCAAATGTTTGCTGTATTTTGGAAATTATTATCTCATAGTCATTTTAACTGTGGATTCACAATACCTTGAAGAGGAAGAACAGGAAATAAGCCCCACGTGAGTCAGAAAATACATGAGGACTGAAGAGCGCTTCCTAATTGTAATGGTTAGAGATCGGCTGTTTGAAATTTAATCAGTACTCTAAGCAGTGTTACTTTTCTATTATGATGCTATCTGATCTGTCTTCCTTCCTGTAAAGGAGCAAACATTGATTTAAATAAAGTGCACAATATTTTTTAATTTAAGAATTACACAGACTCCTGGTGTTTTCAGGCAATATATTTTCATAAGTTCAGAAGTTTCAAAGAATACTCATTTAGAAGATGCCAAGATCCATGTAGAATAATAGACATGTACCTCTGAAATGGAAACAATCTCTTCTGTCCGTTCTTAATTTATTAAATTTTGGTTGTTTTTTAGATCCACTGTTCAGAACAAGATGTATTCGCATAAACTTTTGACTGTGTTTCTGCACTTGGGTAAGTTGCCTGAGACAATGATATTGAAACTGTTTAAAATAAAAATAAAAATTCTGTAGCCATTGATTTGACAAAGTAAAAGCTTGATCCTGCAAAATGCTGAATGCCCTCATTTCTCATGAAAATGTTGGATGCACAGTACCTTACAGACTGGACAATAACTTTCTGATGATAAAAAACCTGCAACTGTAATACAGTAAGTTAATGTAGTTAGTCAAGACAAGCTAGAACAGCTAGCTTAACTAGCATTCATACAGGTTAGAATTTTATGGACAATACCAACAACTGAGGGTAAAATCCTGACTACACTGAAGTCGTAACAAAACTTATATTCACTTCAGTGAAGCCAGGATTTTACACAAGGTGTTTATTTTATTAGGTATGTTTTTGCGCTAAACCAGTCCCCCTGCTTCATATACAAAATGGTTGTAATGAGTGCTCAATTCATGGTAAATATAATAGTTCAAATATGAGTACTTCAGTTTTCCTTTCTAAAATAGAAGAAATAAACAGAGTAGATTAAATCAGACGTGCATAAATTTTGTCAGACACATTAATGTTGGTATATGCTGTAGAACAGATTTCTCTTGATTTTTGTTTTATCTGTAATTTTTATTTATTTGGCAAAAGTTCCTCTAAATTTCCAAAGATGTTGATGAAAGGTAAAGCAGATATTTTAATCCAGTGCACTAAGTTTCAAAATTGTATCTTTCAGATCTTTGCAGCAATTGGGGGTTTTCTTAGAATTTCTTCATGTCTTTATTCATTCAATATCAAATGGGTCACTACTTGACTTAAGACTTAATTAATATAACCTAAAAATTCTCTGCATTTACAGAAGTATCTTTTAACAGAGCAACTGGAGTGCTCAGGGGACTTGCATTGGGAGACAGAGCCGTTTGTCTTTAGTCACTGTTATGTAGGTTTGTGTGAGCAACAGCTTTCACTGTTGCTACTTGTGCTGTACTTGTTCTGTAAATAAATTCCTATATCAGTGGCAAGTGAATACTTTTAATGCAGCCTACTGATTTATAACAAAATATTATGTGTTTATTAAGGGATATAAAATATATAATCTCATGCTAAATAATATTATTACAATTTTATTGTAGCTTATTCATTTCATTTACATTTCATGAAAAAAATATTGTAATAATGGCAGGCACACTGATCTTATGGGATTTGGTTAGTTTGTCATGTGAGATCCTGCCCTGTGATTTGGCCTTCAAAATTAAGCTATGCATGTATAAAACAAACTGAAATCCCCTTTCAGTGCCAGCTGTAAAATGGGTAGCATATTAGCTATATGTCCTGTCCCCTAGGAGTCATGTCCCTCATTTTGTTTTCACATCATGGATTAGGCACTAATATTCTGTTCAGTCAACTGAGTCTTCTACATGGAGCCAGGAAACCTAATGAAGCTGATGTTTAACAAGGCACAGACCCTGCCTTGTTAAACAAGAGAAAATACCATTGAGGGTTTTGCTGATGAGAAAATGTGTATATCCAAAGAAATTGAATGTCTCAGACACTGAGGTAATAACATGAGTTTACTTTTAATCATCTTAGAAACCTATTTTTCACTTTGCATTGGTTTACTATTCAATTTATGTAAATATTTTAGCAAGCAGATTGTGCCTGTGAAGCAAAAGACACACATTCTCTCTCTTGTTACTGTGGGATCCATTTGCAAAACATTCAGTAAGAATGAATTTGTATGTAATAAACTATTTAAAATATTCATATATTTTTCTAGGCATTACACTAAAACCAAGGACACATACAAATCAATTACATGCATTTCAATAAGTAAAGCTATTTTAATTCAAAGAGGCCTATTTATCATTATCAGAAGTATTATTAGCCCACTTCAAGCTCTGATTTATGAACAGTAGCCATGTAGTGTAACAAGTGTGCTCTTACATTGTATAGGGTTTTATTTTCAAGGCATCTAAGTTTGATAGAAAATATCACCTTTTACTAGATCTCATTTTGTAGAAAATTCTTCTTTTGGGCTTATCTACCTAACTGGCCATGTATTAGTGTAAAACACATTAATTAATTAGTAGGGTTGCCAACTTTCTAATCACACAAAACTGAACATCCCTGCCCTGCCCCTTCCCTGAGGCCCCACCCCTGCCCCACCTCTTCTCTAAGGCCCTGCCCCCTGCTCACTCCACCCTGCCGCCTCTGTCGCTCGCTTTTCATAGAATCATAGAATATCAGGGTTGGAAGGGACCTCAGGAGGTCATCTAGTCCAACCCCCTGCTCAAAGCAGGACCAATCCCCAACTAAATCATCCCAGCCAGAGCTTTGTCAAGCCTGACCTTAAAAACTCCTAAGGAAGGAGATTCCACCACCTCCCTAGGTAACGCATTCCAGTGTTTCACCACCCTCCTAGTGAAAAAGTTTTTCCTAATATCCAACCTAAATCTCCCCCACTGCAACTTGAGACCATTACTCCTTGTTCTGTCATCTGGTACCACTTAGAACAGTCTAGATCCATCCTCTTTGGAACCCCCTTTCAAGTAGTTGAAGGCAGCTATCAAATCCCCCCTCATTCTTCTCTTCCGTAGACTAAACATCCCCAGTTCCCTCAGCCTCTCCTCAAAACTCATGTGTTCCAGTCTCCTAATCATTTTTGTTGCCCTCCGCTGGACTCTTTCCAATTTTTCCACATCCTTCTTGTAGTGTGGGGCCCCAAACTGGACACAGTACTCCAGATAAGGTCTCACCAGTGTCGAATAGAGGGGAGCAATCACGTCCCTCAATCTGCTGGCAATGCCCCTACTTATACATCCCAAAATGCCATTGGCCTTCTTGGCAACAAGGGCACACTGTTGACTCATATCCAGCTTCTCGTCCACTGTAACCCCTAGGTCCTTTTCTGCAGAACTGCTGCCTAGCTGTTCGGTCCCTAGTCTGTAGCGGTGCATTGGATTCTTCCATCCTAAATGCAGGACCCCACCCTCACTCACTTTCACTGGGCTGGAGTGGAGAGTTGGGGTGAGGGCTCTGGCTGAGGATGCGGGCTCTGGGTGGGGCCAGAAATGAGGGGTTCAGGGTGCGGGAGGGGCCTCTGGTCTGGGACAGGGGGTTGGGGTGTGAGAAGGGGTGAGGGTTCCAGCTGGGGATAAGGGTGTGAGATGCAGGAGGAGCTCCGGGCTGGGGCAGGGGGTTGCGGTTCAGGAGGGGATCTGGGGTGCGGGCTCAGGGAGGGAGTTTGGGTTCAGGAGGGGGATCAGGGTTGGGGCCAAGGGGTTTGGAGTGTGGGAGGTTGTGTGAGGTGCAGGCTACGGAAGGGAGGTTGGGTGTGGGAGGGGGCTGAGGACTGGGCCAACAGTTTGGGGTGCAGGCTCTGGGAGTGAGTTAGGGTGTCGGAGGGGGCTCAGAGCTGGGGCCGAGGAGTGCAGGATGGGGCTCAGGGCTGGGGCATGGAGTTGGGGTACAGGAGGGGATGCAGGCTCTGGCTGGAGGTGTGGGCTCTGGGGTGGGGCTGGGGATGAGGGGGTTTGGGATTCAGAAGGGGGTTGGGGTGCAGGGGGGTGGTCTGGGGTGCAGACTCGGGGAGGGAGTTTGGGTGCAGGAGTGGGGATTAGGGCTGGGACCAAGGGGTTCGGAGTGCAGGAGGGGGTGGGAGGTTGGGTGCAGGAGGGGGCTGAGGGCTGGGGCAGTTAGGGTGACCAGCTGTCCCGATTTCATAAGGATAGTCCCGATATTTGGGGCTTTTTCTTATATAGGTGCTTATTACCCCCGACCTCCTGTCCCGATTTTCCACACTCTCTATCTGGTCACCCTAGGGGCAGTGGGTTGGGGTGTGGGCTCTGGGAGGAAGTTAGAGTGCAGGAGGGGGTTCCGACCTGGGGCAGGGGGTTGGGGTGCGGGAGAGGGCTTGGGGTGCAGGCTCCAGCCGGGCAGCGCTTACTTCAGGTGGCTTCTGTAAGCGGCTGGCATGTCCAGCTCCTAGGCGGAGGGGACAGGGGGCTCTGTGCACTGCCCGTGCCCACAGGCACTGCCCCCACAGCTCCCATTGGCTCCCAATGGGAGCTGCAGAGCTGATGCTCGGGGTGGAGGCAGCACACGGAGTCCCTGTGGCTACCCATGTGTCTAGGAGCTGGACATGCCACCACTTCCAGGAGCTGCTCAGAGCCAGGGCAGGCAGGGAGCCTGCTTTAGCCCCGCTGAGCTGCTGACCGGACTTTTAGTGGCCTGGTCAGCAGTGCTGATCGGAGCCACTAGGGTCCGTTTTTGACTGGATGTTCTGGTCGAAAACCAGATGCCTGGCAACCCTCTTAATTGGGGATTTAACAATTGTAAATAGTATCTTTCTGGTGTAACAACACAAACAAAAGTATTGTAGAAGCATTTAAAAACTACTGCAATGTGCTCCGTAACAATGAACAAAACCTATCAAATGCCTCTGATTGGGAGGGGAGGGAAGAAAAGACAAAGAAAAGATATGTTAAATGACTTGGCCCCATTGAACTCAATGGCAAAACTCCCAATGACTTCAGTGGGACCGAGATTTCACATATTACGAATAGAGCTTTTTATATTGTTGCTGTAAACAATAGGATTGGTTTTGCATGTCTTTAGAAAATGTTCCTGTCAAGGCTGAATCCTCACTCTGGCACCTTGAGTGCAGGAAGTGGGGGCCCCACAAGGATTTTAAAAATTAATACTAGCCGTTCCAGGCTTGTAATACACTCCCAACATTACAGTTTCTCTCTGACTTTGGCTTGGTAAATGCTGCCACCACCCAAATGCAAAAAAACCCTCTTTGAACCCAGGAAGGAGCACTTGGGAATTCCTCACTGTGGGGTACCCTCAAGCCCTTTCACCCACCCTCCAGGGAAGAGCTGAGAAAGAAAACAAAGGAAATTATCTGTGGCTACCAGCTAATCAAACAGGCACAAACCTCTTAGGACACCAAAAATCCAATCCTGTTCTTAAAAAAGGTAATTTTATTAAAAACAAAAAGGAAAAAAATACATCTGGAACTTAGGCTTTTTGCTAGATCTTAAAAGAAACAATTACAAAAATTAAGCACCCAAAATAGCTTTCTTGGAGGTTCAGCTTAAAGGTTACAAGCAAATAAAAGCATCTGGGGTTAGCACGGAGGATTTTCTGTTAAAAATAAACAGAAATAAACCTGATTGCGTCTAGCTAAACATTCTGATCTACTTGCACATTTGGAGTTTCAGATAAGTAGTTCTAGGTATGAACTGATGATTTATGATCATACCTGGCTTAAAACTGTTTACAGCATTGCTGCTTTGTCCCTGCAGCCCAGAGAGACAAAGGGAAAGCTTTTTTCCCATTTTAAAAAGTTCTAACCTTCCCATTGGCTCTTTTGTTCAGGTGCCCACTCCCTTTTCTTTACCTGGGGACTTTTTTAACCCTTTACAGGTAAAGCAAGCTGCCACCAAGAGGGACTTTATAGCTAACTGACTGGCTGGGTGTCCATAAAAGGGAGCCCCCCACCACTTTCTTTATCACAGTTACAAATAACATTTTTTATGCAATTTCTGTACTCACATAATACCCATTAGTGAGGAGGACAAAATATATCTTCATATATTATTGTTTAACATCAAGCTTGTGAATATCCCAAAGTTGGGTGTATCCAGGTTGTAAAAATATAGAATATAGTTGCAAAATGCGGACCAGGGTTTGGATTTTAAGACCCAAGAGTTTCTGTATGCCCAGATCTGGGGCCAAATTCTCTGCTAAATTGGTGCAGCTCCTTTGACTTCAATCCCTGTTTAATATGTTTGATTCTAATTAACTTACACCAATTTAAGCCAGGAGAGCACTTTTCCCCCTCGAGTTCTTGTATTGGACTATCTCGGGTTTTTTTAAAAAATGCAGTTATTTTGGAAAAAAGAGCAGGGTGACTTCAGTCAAGTATGAGGCATATGGATGAGTTCTGGAAGCCTAACTGAATAAAATAGTCTGTACCAATTCAGAAGAGATTGGCACTTGGAGATTCTTGTCCAATATTTTTAATCACACTTGTTTCTTTAGAACGGCAGCTGCTCTGTTTTCATTGTTCCAAGTAGCATAACTCATTGCCTTCATTATTTCTTTGTATTTCCAGATTTTATTCGAATGGCAGTTGCTCACTGTATGGTACATCAGATTCCAGCATCAAGCTTTATGTTGCCTTGCCCGTCACCGAATGAGACTTCTGTCATTCCTTTGACTGCTGGTGTTGTAGCGAGCAGTCCTGGGTTGCACGGAGAGCATGGAACTGCTGAAACCAACTCTCTGGTACTGGTGGCTGAAGAGAGTTTCCTCTGTTGCCTTTGGAGTGAAACACATACAAATTGTTCTTTGTACACGGCAGGCATGGAAACAAAGAAATTTACTTCCTCAGAAATAAGTAGCTTAGCTCCTCAGCAAACAGGTAGGTTTGTAGTGTAATTGTTTAAAGTGACTCAGTAATGGACATCACATTTTCGTTGTTTTTCAATATTTTCCTAATACTAATATTTGTTTCCATTTGTGCCTGGATTATGCGGGGTACTGTACAAACATAAATGAAGGCAAAATTCCTGTCCTGGAGAGCTTGCCATGTAGAAAGGCAGACTAAAGGTAAGGGAAAGGGGTACAACATGCAAATAAGGAGGTAGAAGTGGTGAATCACCACATCTTGATAATATAAATCCATTTTGTTAGCTATATAGGTAACTATCCTCGGTTGTGCCCTCCCCCTTACCTTTACCACTTATTAGTCAGCTAACTCCTTGTGAGCATCATGGTAGAATTAGGTCAGAGGAATGTTGGAAATTGAATAAGGATGTAGACATTTTTAATGGATTTTTAGCTTGAGAGAACAAATCTTGTCCCCACCTCCATGTCCATGTTATCATCCACAGTGACTTTATCTTGCATCCTGTAATTTGAAATGTAATTGGTTATTCCTCCTGCCCCTGGCACACAATGTACATGGTGGAGAAAAGGATCTTTGTGTGAAATCCTGGTCCTGTTGAAGGCAATGCCAAAAGTCCCATTGTCTTAAGTATGGTCAGGATTTTACCCTGTATTTCTAGCACTGCCTCATATGTCAGGTGGTCTTTTCAAGAAGTAATCCGAATAATTGTATTGTTTTCTAATGCTGCATAGAGGTTGTGGTCATGAACTGTCGCAAAAAGATTAAAGAATATCAGAAATTTGACACACCCCATTCGCCTCCTACCCCCTCCACTAAAAATTGTCCCTAGTTACAAGTAAGAAAGTTTATTATTTAAACAAATTTGTGTGATTATAATTTACATTGATTTTATGTCCAGCTCTGTACATTCTCTATAGTAAGAGACTACCAGATCACTAAAACCCAGATTTGTAAAGGTATTTAGATGTTGCTGCATTAGGTGTTGGAGTTAGGAGCCTAAATATTTTTCCAAAGGGATTCAGGCACTTGGGAACCAACAGTCAATGGGATTTTGCCTGCTAAGTGCCTAAAAACCCTTTAGGAAAAAGAGATTTAGGCTCCTAAATCAGTTGGGTATTGCAATGCTGAATGCAGCAACACAAAAATATCTTTTAAAAATCTGGGACTAATGCCCCAATCTTGCAAACAGCGGTGATGTACTTACTCACATGAATAGCCCCAAACTCCAAAGGGCTGGTCACGTGAGGAATATAACATACATTCTTAAATGTTTGCCTGGTTGCAGCCCAAATGCAGATGAGAGAGTACCAGATTTTATTTCTTTGAAATTTCCTGTTCCTTTCAGTGCAGCATATGTGCTGGTGCATAAGACTTACTGGTAAATTTTGTTTTATTTCTTTAAATGTCTTTGGTTTCAATGTGGTTCAGAAAATGTTTACCTTTTTAAATTTAGATTTAAGCTGGAACATTCAATGTTGGACTAAAGGAGACCTGGAACTGTTTGTTTGTATCCTGAAATTGTCAAATAAGAAGTCGTACTTGAATGGAGAAGTTAAGATTAATCTTTCATATGTTCTGTAAGTAAAATATATCTGAAGCTTCACATTTATGATGATATCCTAAAACACCAATAAAGATCCTATGAGTGAGTTGTCTTACAGTAGTATTTGTGATCTGAAACACAGTGATAGCATTAGTCAGTACAAGTGGATAAAATACTATATGCCCATTTGTTCTTAATTCCATACAGTTCGATCAAAATGTGGTCTAAAAATATCAGTCAAGTATATGTTCAGGGCTTGAATGGTTAACACAGGGTGTTTCCTATCCTTTCTGTCCTTTTCTCATATTTATTAAACTGCTTATTTTATTTTAACTAGGTCAAAGGCTTCCTCAATCAATATGCAACCCATAATTTTTTAAGGTTGAATGCTTGATCTTCTGCCTGCTTGTGCTTTTGCCTCTTATCATATTGTCTCTCCTCAAGAAATTTATTCTTCTTTGTCATTTTAATACCATACCTAATATAAAATCTAGAATTTTTGATGCATCTTATAGAGTTAACCACTCTGTAGCGCTCTTACATACACAAAAGAAGTCACCACTGTTCCAAACATGCTTTTGAAGGGTAAAATATGTTCATCACCTAGAGCTTTAGTGTCTCTTTTTAATATGTTTAAACTAAATTTAATAAATCAGTGATTTAAAAGTGAATGTTAGATTATACTTCAAGAGCATGCTGATCTCTATAGGCTACTGCTGGATTGAGTGGCATACATCCCTTATGCACTTTTAAGTTTCTGCATTCCCTTTTCATGTAATATTTTCAGACAGCTAGTACTCATGTAAGGAACCATGCTGGAAGGCCACCTGCTTCTGCTTCAGCTCTGCATAATACCTTGAGGTAGGGGAGTCTCCACTAACAATGATAGAAGAAGGATGGTCTTGTGGCTAATAGACTTGGACTCAGATCTTCTGAGTCCAGTTCCTTTCTCTACCACAGACTTCCTGTGTGATGTTGGGCAAATCCTTTAATCTCTCCGTGCCTCAGTTCCCTGTCTGTAAGATGGGGATAATAGTACTTCCTTCCCGCCCCTTGTTGTTGTATCTGTTTAGATAGTAAGTTCTTTGGTGTAGAGACTGTCTCTTATTACATCCTAGTGGGACACGACTCTTGATTGGGTCTCATATGGATTCTGTATTATAAATAATAAATAATAGATCAAACAGGATTTATAGACAATGGTCTCTGTTTAAAAAGTCAGCGCTGACCCACAGATACCAGTTACCACAGTTATTACTGTTCTGAATGTAGGAAATAAATGGGATAACTGGTAGCAAATGTGGACTTCTAAATGGCAAACATTATAAGATAACCTAAAGCCAAAGTCTTAACAGGCTTCCATTTCTAGCATTCTCTATGCTTTCTGTGTCTGAAGTACCATTACATCTAAAAATAGTTCCCACTTCCATTCTTTTCCAACCAGGGCTCATCACTAAATAGAAAAATCTTAGCTGACGGGGGTAGTTGAGTAGATTAGGCATGCCTAGCCCCCAGGTTCAAATCCCAACTGAGCTCAAAAGGCTTACCAAGGCAGATATGTTCAGAACTATACAATTCACTCTGTGCATTTTTCAAATAAGAGCTTAAAAACAGGTTTCAGAGTAACAGCCGTGTTAGTCTGTATTCGCAAAAAGAAAAGGAGTACTTGTGGCACCTTAGAGACTAACCAATTTATTTGAGCATAAGCTTTCGTGAGCTACAGCTCACTTCATCGGATGCATTCAGTGTTCTTGATTCTGGACAGTGTTCTTGATTCTGCTGAGACTTCCTTCTTGGATCGCATTTATGCCGCAGTGTGGAGTGGGCTTTTCTTCACACGCAGAAGACAAAAGGCCAGCGCCCCTTCTAAGCAAAAACTCGCGTGTAACTTTGTGAAGCATCAAAGACACGCGAGACAGGCTCCCCTGTTACACCGCTCGCTTAGTCATCCCCTTGAGTCCATCCCACCTGATTCGATCCACTGGGACCGTAGCTCACGAAAGCTTATGCTCAAATAAATTGGTTAGTCTCTAAGGTGCCACAAGTACTCCTTTTCTTTTAGCTTAAAAACAGAGGCCCTGGATGACTATAGACCTCATGACACTTCCATCCCTTTTTTAAGAATAGAAGGTTTTCTCTGGTGTTCATGACTAAAATTTGGTCTCCTGCCGCAGCCATGTTGCATACTGTGTGCTGTTAGGCTCTCTTACCACCCACAGGTGGGTGCGTTTCAGTGGTGGTGTATTCTAATCGTTTGTGAAGTATTTTGGGATCAGCCAGTAGTAGTATTCTACAGATAGAGCATCTTAGATCTTTGAGAAGAAATGTCCTATTTCTGTCAGTAATCGAGAGTTTTCTGCTAGCTGTGCCTCTCTGAAAAAATTCATCAGTGAAATGGGCGCACAGGCACACCACCCTGAAAGAGGAGAAAAATAAACAACTCTAACACCTTGTTAGTGAAAGTGATGAGTCGTATAAGAGGTCGAAAATGAGGTGAGAAGAGCTGCAAAGACATCAAGCCACAGTGGGAGCAGGGAGACACATATTGGAGCACCCCAGAAAAACCAAGAGAGATTCAGAAGGCTTCAAGTGCTTGATGAACTGATTTTTTTGGGGAGGCCAGCGGAATCTGCAGAAGAAACTCTCAAAGGGGCCAAGAAGACCTGACAGACTGTGGGTTATCCTGTAGAGCTTTGAGAGAGGCTCGAAAGATGAGACTTCTGTTTTCTGTTTGTTCCCCTCTTAGTTTTGCAGAGTACAAAAGCATTTTGCATCCTTTTGCAGATCCATCCTGTAGTCCAGGAAAACATGGATTTTCTGATTTTGCAAGGATCTAAAGCAGAAATGGGCAAACTACAGCCCACAGGACACATCGGCCCATGGGACCGTCCTGCCCGGCCCCTGAGCTCCTGGCAAGGGAGGCTCGCCCCCGGCCCCTCCCCACTGACCCCCCTCCCCCATAGCTATGCTGCCATGCGGGTAGTGCGGCTTGCATCCGCCCACCTCCCAGGCTTTCCAATAAGTCTGTCCTGCCGCTCTGAGTGGCATGGTAAGGGGGCAGGGGTAGGGGAGGCAGGAGGTTCCTGGGTGCAGTCCTGGGGGGAGAGGGGGCGGTCGGATGGGGCAGAGGTTCGGGGAGGGGGGTGGTCAGGAGTCAGGGAGCAGGGGAGGTTGGATAGGGGGTGGGGTGCTGGGGGGGCAGTTAGGGACGGGGATCCCGGGAGGGGGTGGTCAGGGGACAAGAAGTGTGTGTGTGGGGCTGGATGAGTCGGGGGTAGGGGTGTGGATAGGGGTTGGGGCGGTTAGGGGACAAGGAGCAGGGGGGGGTTAGATGGGTCAGGAGTTCTGAGGGGGGCAGTCATGGGGCAGGAAGTGGGAGGAGGCAGATAAGGGGCGGGGGCCAGGCTGTTTGGGGAGGCACAGACTTCCTACCTGGCCGTCCATACCATTTTGCACCCCGATGTGGCCCTTGGGCCAAAAAGTTTGCCCACCCCTGATCTGAAGTTTTATTCCAATTTCTAGATGAAGCTCTTCCCTGCCCAGGAAATTTAGCAGTGTATTAACAACTGCCTTGAGCTGCACCATTACCCAAGGTTGAGGTCTCTGTAGGCTTTGCTCTCTTCAGTATCATTTTCTCTGGCACTTCAAAAAATTACTGTAATTGTTACCTTGAAAGAAACTTGTCAGCTTTCTACTCCAGATTCCCTAAATTGATTTACACATCTCCTCCAAATTATCGACTTACTGCTAATGCGGTCATTCTCCTCTCCAAAGACTATCTTTAGTATTTTTGTTATTGTTTTTACCATTATAGAGCAAACTTATTTAACATTCCTCATGTGGTGGTAGTATTTTTTTTCTCCCAGGAGTGAAGGTCAATTATAGTTTTCTTTAGCAAGGCCTGATGTTCTGAAGGAATAGCTGACTTGTTTATTTCATATTTTGGTAAGGGTAGCTTCCCCTGTTGACTCACTGATGCCTTTCACATGCAGGCCAGAATAGTTTGAAAACAGTCCCAGCTTTAAAAGTATGCTTTCATGGCATTTGTTTCTCTCTGGGAGGCCTCAATTCATGAACAAGTGCCAATATTCTCATATTTAGGCCATACACGCAATGAAAATAATGGCCTTGTTTTGTTATAGGCTCCTCAGTGGTTCACATATGGTCTTTGACAGCTCAAGTGTTTCAGCATTTAAAAAAAGGATTTTTGATTCACCCATCCCCAAGTATGATAGGCTTGGTCTGACGTCGTCATGAACAGAAAGTGCTTCATGCTGTCCATTACAGAGCAGGTCTGAAGAATAGAGATCAGTCAAATAGGACTCTGAAAATATACTGCAGAAAAGATACTAGTATCGGGAGGGCTACCAAGACGGAGATGAAGTCATTGTCAGAGAGCCATCTTACCTTTTATGGCATAACTTCCTTGGAAGGAGAGACCTATTTCATCCTGTAGCTTTCATAAAATCTTAAAAATGGAGGGCTGGAAGTGACCTTGAGAGGTCCTGTAGTCCAGCTACCCTGTGCTGAGACACGACCAAGAAAACCTAGACCGGGGTGGCCAACCTGAGCCTGAGAAGGAGCCAGAATTTACCAATGTACATTGTCAAAGAGCCACAGTAATACGTCAGCAGCCCCCCAGCAGCTCCCCCCCCCCGCTCCCAGTGCCTCCCACCCACTGGCAGCCCCCTTGATCAGTGCCTCCCCGCACCTCCCGATCAGCTGTTCCGTGGCATGCAGGAGGCTCTGGGAGGGAGGCGAAGGAGGGAGGGCAAGGCAGGCTTAGGGGAGGAGTGGGGGCAGGGCCTGTGGCAGAGCCAGGGGTTGAGCAATGAACACCCCCGGCACTTTGGAAATTTGGCACCTGTAGCTTCAGCCCCGGAGTCCATGCCTATACATGGAGCCGCATAGTCACTTCTGAAGAGCCGCATGTGGCTCTGGAGCCACAAATTGGCCACCCCTGACCTAGACTATCCCAGACAGGTGTTTGTCTAATTTGTTCTTGAAAACATCCAATCATAGGGATTCCGCAGCCTCCCTTGGAAGCCTATTCTAGATTTTAACTATTTGTATAGTTAGAAATAGGGTGACCAGATATCCCAATTTTATAGGGACAGTCCCAATATTTGGGGCTTTTTCTTATATAGAGGCCTATTTACACCCGCCCCGCCCCCTCCCGATTTTTCACACTTGTTTTCTGGTCACCCTAGTTAGAAAGGTTTTCCTTAATATCTAACCTAAGTCTCCCTTGCTGTGGATTGAGCCAGTTACTTCTTATGGATATGGAGAAATAATTTATCACCATCTACTTTACATATTTGAAGAGTGTTATCAGGTTCCCCCTTAGTCATCTTTTCCCAAGACTAAACATGCCCAGTTTTTTAAAATTTTTCCTCAGAGGTCAGCTTTTCTAAACCTTTTATTATTTTTGTTGCTCTTCTCTGAACTTTCTGCAGTTGTCCACAGCTTTCCTGAAGAGTGGCACCCAGAACTGGGCAAGGTACTCCAGTTGAGGCTTCACTAGAGCTAAGTAGAAAGGGACAGTTATCTCCAGTGGTGAGCTGGAGCCGGTTTGCACCGGTTCGTGCAAACCAGTTGTTAAATTTTGAAGCTGATTTAGAACTGGTTGTTAAAGGGGTTCGGCAAACTCCGGCCCTCGGGCCACATGCAGCCCGCGGGACTGTCCTGTCCGTCCTGCCTGAGCTCTCGGCTGGGGAGGCTCCCCTGAGAATTTCTACTCACCCGGTAGCCCTGTGGTCCTTTGACGGCACTTCGGCGGCACATCATTCACTCGCCCCAGGTCTTCGGTGGCACTTCGGTGGCGGGCCCTTCAGTGCCGCTGAAGACCCAGAGCGACTGAAGGAACCAGTTCTTCAGCTTCTAGCAGCTCATCACTGGTTATCTCCCATGTCTTACATATGACACTCCTTTCATTACGTCCCAGAATATTAGTCTTTTTTGCTACTGTATCACATTGTTGACTCATTCAATTTATGATCCACTGTAACTCCCAGATCCTCTTCTGCAGTGCTACCACCTTGCCAGTTATTCCCCATTTTGTAGTTGTGCTTTTGACTTTTCCTTCCTATGTGATGTACTTTGCACTTGTCTTTATCAAATTTAATCTTGTTGAATTCAGATCAATTCTCCAATTTGTCAAGGTTGTTTTGAATTCTAATCCTGTCTTCCAAAGTGCTGGCAATCTCTCCCAGTGCAGTGTCATCCACAAATTTTGTAAGGCATTTTACTCTCTCCTGCACCATTATGCAAGTCATTCAGATTGTAAAGGGCTGAACCTTGCTTAGTCTCCCTCCAGGCTGCTCTTCTTCATCAGCAAGTAGGCAACACAACACTTGGGTTGCTACTCTGCTGTTGGCCCCAGGCCATAGCTGTTCCTTGAACACTCTGAACATAAGAACGACCATACTGGGTCAGACCAAAGGTCCATCTAGCCCAGTATGCTGTCTTCCGACAGTGACTAATATCAGGTGCTTCAGAGGGAATGAACAGAACAGGTAATCATCAAGTGATCCATCCTCTGTCACCCATTCCCAGCTTCTGGTTCTGAGATTGCACCAGCTAGTTTCTTTAATATCCTATGAAGAATTTCTTCAGGCTCTGCTGACTTGAATACATCTAATTTCTCTAAATATTTTTTAATCTGTTCTTTTCCTTATTCTGGCTTGTGTTTTTCCTTTTTTAGTGGAGATTATAGCAAAATAGACATTAAACGCTTCTGCCTTCTTGATGCCATCTCTGGCTAGCTCTCCTTCCCTGCTAAGTAGTGGATCTTTACTTTCCTTTCTCTTGCTCCTAATGTATTTATAGAACCTCTTCTTATTGCCTTTCCCCTGCTAGGTGGAACTCATTTTGTACCTTACCCTGTCTGTTTTTGTCTGTACATGCTTGTGCTATTTTTTTGTACTTGTCCTTATGAATTTGTCCATGTTTCCATTCTTTCTAGGATTATCTTTTGATTTTCAGGTAATTAAAGCACTCCGATAGAGCTATATGGCCTCTTACTATTCTTTCTATCTTTTCTTCACATCAGGATATAGTTTGCTATTGTGCCTTTAATATTGTCTCCTCAAGACACTGCCAGATCTCCTGAACTCCTTTTCCCCTTGGATTTCTTCCCATGGGATCTTACCTACTAGGTCTTTGTTTGTGAAAGTCTGCTTTTTTGAAGTTCGTTGTTCTTATTCTACTGCTCTGACTCTTTCCTTTTCCTTAGAATTCTGAAATCATCATTTCAAGGTCACTTTCACCCAAATTGCCATTAACTTTCAAATTCACAACCAGTTCCTCTCTCTTGTTCAGCTTCAGGTCTAAAATGGCTGCCCCCTTGGAAAAGTAATACATAAAACTCAGTATGTTCACTTAGTTCTTGGAATGTACTGGGGAACAATTTTTTGTTTCAGAAGGTGGAGGAAATTTCCATTAGATATCGGAGTAATTAAAGTGTCCCCACTACAACCACATCTTGTGTTTTGGATATTTCTGTTCTAACAGTGCCTCATCCACCTTCCTCTCCTGATTTGGTGTTCTATAGTAGACCTTTAGCATGACATCACCCCTCGGGTTTTTTCCCCCTTTATTTTCAGCCAGGGACTTTCAACTGGTCTGTCTCTCACCTCCTTCTGAGCAATATATATACTTGATGTACAAGGCAACAGCATATCCTTTTTTCCTAGCCTGTCTTTCCGGAGCATGACTAGGATATTTGTATAGAGATGTCAAATAAGTCAGAATTTAGCTTATGGCTAATACTGCCAGTTCTTCCTGTTTATTCCCATACTTATCGCATTTGTGTAGAGACATCACTCCTTCACCCTTGCTCCCAGGGCCCTGTATTCACGGCTGATATGCTCGAGTTCCTAGAAAGACATTTGTGGTGAACTGTATAACCCACCTATGCCTTTGTTATTTGTCACCAATGTGGCAATCCAATATTCGTGCCAATAAATAATAGTACTAGACAGTCATGCATTCTGTCTACAATTGAAAGTATGCAGTGGTCCACTTCTAAAGTTTCTTTCATTTTAAAAGATACTTTCAGTTTCAGAGATATTTCCTCACTTAAAATAGGAATACTGCTGGAACTGCTGATATTGCTGAAAATGGAAGAAACCTTGGGGCTGATTTCCTCTGTGTTACACTAGTGTAAATTACAGTTATTGGGGTTACATGAAAGTAACATACAAGGGAGTGGAGAATTAGGTGTTTTAAGTGCAACTTGTGTGTGTGTATGCATGTAAATGTATGTATTGAGGGTCTGTGTAGTGATGTGTACATTAGATATACTGATGCCCTCTCAAGTTTGTAAAATGGGTCGTCAAGATGCCATTTCTTGAAAGGCAACTTTTACATGCGCTTTAGGAAGTGTGATATAATGCCTGTCTGAATCAGATACTAGTAAGAATTGAATGAGTTTTAACCTAAATTACAGTGTGGCAGCATACATCTCCATTTGTATGCTGCACAAGACTTCACATCAACAGTAATATGTTGTACAGCTGGTATATTTCAATATGCCCTAAATATTACATATGTTTCCTTTAAAAAAATTCTGAAAGCATAAATGTATTCTTCCATCACTGGAAAAATTGATCCAACTATTTTTGTTAAATAAACATCTTTATTTCTTGTTAGCAGTTCAAGTGCTATCCATTTAAAATTTTGCAAGGTTTTATTAAACCTTATATTTTTTCAAAGATTTTTGTAATAAGACTATTTTCATTTGTATGCTAATCTCTAAAGGAAAGTATTCCAGCATGTGAAAAATTCATGAAAACAAATCTGGAGAGTTCAGCCAGAAGTAGTCTCTTGGGCTGTACTTCAGTTTAGAAAGAAACAAAACAGAATACTAAAGAGGGAGTTACTAAATACTTTCCACGAGCCAGTCCAAAGCAATAGTACTAGTGATGCCTGGGATTAAATGAGATTTGCTTTGCTAAGAAAAAGTCAAATTATCTAAGAAATAAACATGGTATGTCTTCAAAGTAAACAAAGCTTCATCATCTTGGAAGTAATTACTTAAAGTTAGATTTTTAGAGTACATTCTTTGTGCTGTGTATATACAATATTTATCAGTTACAATCATGTGTAGTTGATAAGTAATTTAGAAATATATCCTAAACCTGGACCAAATTCTGCAGCTTGTTGCGCACACAAAAATTCTGGTTTGGGCTGAATAACTTCAGGATATTGTATTATTATAACACTTAATGATACGTTTTGGAAGGGATATAAAAACTCATGTTTCATGTTTAATTAGCATCTGACTATTAGGGATTGGGATGAGACCTTCATGAGTGACAAATTATCCTACATCTGCCAAATGGAGGGTTTCTTAAAGCTTCCTCTGATGCAGCTGATTCTGGAAACTGTCAGAGACAAGATACTGGAGTAGATGGTCTGATCCAGTCTGGCAATTCTGATGTTGGATCAGGCCTCAGAAATATCTTTCATTCGGCTCCTTCTCCGCCCCCAAAGGTACAGCTGAAGAAAAAGCACACAGACTGATCTGTCTCTTGTACTTTGCTGTTTTCAGTACTGTTTCTACTGTTTAATCCAAAGAGGTCAATCTAATAGAATGTACAGAAGATTGTCCAGGACGTGATGCTTTTTAAATATTGATCTATTTTTTTTAATATAGATCAGAGTTGTCATTGGAAGACATGTCTACGGATTCTCTAAAAGGCAATTTCATGGTTACTCCCTGCGACTGCAATGGGTCTGACAAGTACGAATGTCACATATCTTCACTGAAACTCAACTACACTTATATTACATGGTTAAACATCATAAATGGGGTAACACTTCTTCAGTCACCTTTAATGTCCGTCAGACCCATAAATATTGGTAAGTTTTCAATTTATTGGACACCTTTTTTATAGAAAGCAGTATCAGGAAGTCCTCATTTTGGGACTAGTCAGTTTTTGCAAGGACTTCAGCTGCAACTGTGTTAATTCTTCAGGGTAACTTCTGCAGGCTGATGTGTATCCCCTCCCCCAGTCTTCCTAGTCTTTGCCCTTCTTGCAAATCTAGGTAGAAGGAGGAACAATGTCTTGGGGTACCTGAATGCAGGGAGGTAGATCAGTATGTGGAGAACAATGGTCTGGTTCATAATTATTACCTAATTTTTTACAGAAAAATATTTTTTTTGCTATTTGCTTTAAAAATAAACCTGCAAATTCTCATCAGCAGCATTTGCATGTACTCTCTTGCTCTCATTTTGACACTTCCATCATTAAAGATACAACTTGCGCATTTTTTAAAAGTGGAAAATTTATTTCTGCTATTTCACCAGCCCATCAGCTCAGTGAAATCAGATGACAGATACATTTGATGTTACTTTGTTGCCATCCAATCTGCATAATTAATGGTTGATAAATATACAGCCATTTGCTGAATAGTTGGGACTTTTTTAGCTATAATGAAAAACTGTTTGTATTTTCTTATTAATATTACTTTTTGGAAAGCAGAATTAAAAACCTTTTGGATGAAAACTTCATCTTAGTTGCAAATGAAATTAATATTTTTGGAGATGAGGTGATTATACTGATATTTCATTTTAATTTTGTCACAGGATCGATTTAAGTTTCACAGCTGCATCTGCCAGTATTAAAAGTGACCACAGATATAATTCATGCAATATGTTCTTAGCAATAAGTAAGGTCAGAAGGTCATTTTTGAAATGTATAATTTTTAATAATAATATGTTCTCCCATTAGTGATCTTGATAAAAGGAATAATGAGTTTTAAAATAAAAAGACGAATATTAGCTAGGCGAGTTGTTTGCTTTGCACACACAAGCCATAGCAACAGAATACATGGCAACAAAATGAGAAAACATTGTCTACCCATGCAACCACTTAGGTTACAATATGGTAATGTTCAGTCTTTTTAAAAGAGTGCTTCTGTACTACCATAAAAAAATTCTGTGATCAAAATTGCAGAATAAAGTTTTTAAAAGCAATGGACCACATCCTGAATCCTTTACTCTTGTCTGTCTCCCCTGAAGCTAGTCAAAGTGTGGACTGAATTAGAGCTGCCACAGACAGATTGAGAGATTTGGCCCTAACTATTTAGTTTGCACCGACTCAAATATTGATACATTTGGGCTAGGTACTGATACTCTCACCAAAGCTGAGTAGTTCCTGACTCCTTGAATACTCCTATTGATTTCAATGAGACCACTTGTAGCATAAGCAGGTCAGAAAATGACCCCCTTGTATTTAAGGACCCAAGTCTGTAATCTGATGCATGTAGGTGGACTCCTGTATTTGACCAGAGCTCCATTAAAGTCAAAGAGGCTCCATGTGGGCTCAGGGGGTCTGCGCATGCAGATCAAATTGCAGGATGCAGTATTGCCTTTAAGATGGCCCTCTGAAGCACTGACTACAAAACTCAGAAGTTCCTCATTTTCAGGTCACAGACACCTGCTTGGCTGTTTACTCTAAACTGAAAAATACCATTTGTGGCGGGTTCCCCCTGATGTGCCACCTGGAACTGGGGTACCACTGAGCGTGCCTGACCAACCAGCCTGGGTTCCCTTTACATTGTACTGCTGTGCAGCCTGCCAAGCCCTCCCCCAGGCTTCAGACTGCACTTGATCAGCACACATACAGGTAGGGACACACCCAGCTGCAGAAACACCCAGACACTGAAATCAGCTCTGCATGGGAAAGCTCAGCTAAGGAACTGCCCAGTGTTCAAGTGTACCCCCCCCCGAGGGTTAACCCAAAATTATACTGTCTTGCGCTGCACAGAGATCTATACAGCGTAAGCTCATGAAATTCGCCCTCTCAATGTGAAGAGGAATATACACAGCTTTCTGCCCCAAGTATGCTTTCCATACACTGGTTTTAGACAAAACAAAAATAAATTTATTAACTACAAAAGAGAGATTTTAAGTTATAATAAGGGATAGCAAACAGATCAAAGCAGATTACCTAGCAAATAAAACAAACGCGCAATCTAAGCTCAATATACTAAAGAAATTGGATATAAGTAGCAAATTCTCACCCTAAATGTTGTTTTAGGCAAATTGCAGAGATTCTTGAAAGCAAGCTGCTCTTGCTTGCAGCTTAAACCTCTAGATATTCCTTTCACAGGTTAGATAACCCTCTAGCCTGGGTTCAGCCCATCTCCCCCAGTTCATTCTTTTGTTTCTCAGGTGTTTCCAGCAGTCTTCTTTCTTGGACGGAGAGTCAGTGAAGAACGAACCATGATTATGTCACTCTCCTGCCGTAAACAGCTTTTGTATATGGCTGGACCCCTTTGTTTCCCCGTTTGTTCCCCTGCCCGGTCAATGGAAAAACACTGGTATTCCAAAATGGAGTCCAGTACCAGGTGACTTGGTCATATGTCTCTGTAGGGCCATAACGGCCATAACTTGGAGGCTGTTAGTAGCGTCCTTTGGAAGGCATCCCGGTGAGAAATTAGCATCTTCAAAGACCTATTGTTTTCCCTAATGGCCATTCCCAGCCAGCCATCGAGACTGATTGCATTCTCTCTGGTGAGCGTTCTCCAGGGGTAATAGATGCATAGACCCTAACTTCAGATACTAAAATGATACATGCATACAAGAAGGATAATCATATTCAGTAAATTATAACCTTTCCAATGATATCTCACATGCCTTATCTTGCACAAAATACATCATAATTATGCCATACTCATATCATAATAATATTACCACGAAGAATATGGGGTGTAATGCTACACCATTTATTAAAGGTGTTTATCCTGAGTGAGAGAACCTCAATGTTTGCTTAACAAATGTGCCCGAAAAGACAGGCCAACCACAGTCGTCAGTGAACAGCGATAAATAAATGTACTCAGTACCTGGTAAAAGTAGAATCCAAGCTTCTTGATTTTTACCCAGCATGATTATTATTCCTAAGTGGTTGTCCATTTCCTCCATCTGAAATGTCCTCTTTATCTCAGTTAGAGTCCTGCAAAACCCTAATTTTCCTTCACCTCATTTCAGGTCTCCTACAAGGCCAAAATCCTAATAATAGTAAAATGGATGGGGCTACTTTACGAGCCAGCTCCCATTCAGCAAAACATTTGTGTGTGTCTGAGTGCTTTGTAGAATTGGGACCCTGGATAGCAAGAAGCTGATTCTGGTTTAAGGCAACTACTAGGCCAGGAGTGGCAGAACTTACTGACCCTCCGAGCCACATATGACAATCTTCAGAAATTCGAGAGCTGGGGCACGTAGTCTGGGGCTCATGGCTTCAGCCCTGATCCCCGAGACCCCCTCTCCCGGCTTCCAGAGGTGATGTGGAGGGAGTTATATGGGGTCATCTCTCCCCTAGATTTTTGCCAGTGTTTGCTGCCTCCGCTTGGTCACATGGTGCTGCGGGGTCCCCTCCCTCCATGGCAGCTGCTGGAGCTGGCAAGTTGGAAGCTGTGGTTGTGGGGAGAGGCAGCGGCAAACAGCTGGGAGCTGCAGGAACGGCCACTGTTTTTGCAGCTGCCTCTCGCCACAGAGCGAAAGCAGCGGCCTCTCCACTGGAGCGAACACCTGGGAGCTGCAGAGAGGGGCCAATGAGGGTAAGGGGGTGTGTGACTCAAGCTGTTGGGGGCCAAACCTTTAAATTGTGCCTCCCTCCCCCCCACTCCAAGCAGGCTCCAGTCATCTCTGCAACAACATGACCCAATAGTTAACCATGTTTGCTAAAATACTGCTTGCTATTCAGTTTTAAGAATAATTTAGGCTTCTGTTATTTGCTGTAAGTATATTTAAATCAGAGTAGAGCATCTTCTAAAACATAAAGCTTACGGACAAGACTTAAAAGAGAGAGAGGTCACTGATTGAATGATGGTGAATACAAACATTGTGGCCAGCAAACCTTGACAGTAACTATAACAGATAAAGTAGAAGCTTGGTTTTAATATTTTTACAGTAAAGCCTGAACCTCCATTGAACCTGCGACTAGAAATGACAGACGAAGGACAGTTAAAGATCTGTTGGTTCAACCCAGTAATAACACCGTATCCACTTCAGTATGAAGTGAAGTTTTCTGGGAATGCTACTCAAAATGCCTGGCAGGTGGGTGTACTTGTTCTATTATTATTATTTTATTTTTATTGAAGATGAAGTCATTCTAATGTTGTATTTAAGGAGAGTCTGCTGCAACTGTCTGTCTAGATTCTACAGTGGCCATGATCTAATCACAACTTGAGGGAAGAATCCATCTCAGGGGCAGCTGTTAGTGCTCATTTCGCCAAACCTGCTTGGGTCAACAGCAGGCTTTGAATTCAGGATCTACAGCACTGAAATTGTTAGCCTCTGCTGAATGAGCAAAAGGACTAAGTTGCTTAGCTGGAAGCAGTAGCAGACTCATAAACCTCGTATATGGTGCAGCCACTAGAAGGGGACAAAGACCCACCCCCCTCATAGTATGGGTTTCACCTACAGACCACTAAACCCTATCCACAGGTAAATCCTAGTCCCACTGAAGTCAATCACAAAGCTCCCATTGGCTTCAGTGGAGCTAGGATTTCTGTGTGTGTGTGTGTGTGTGTGTGTGGTATATAGTTCTATTAATGAATCACTTTTCCCACTGCCACAATGCAGCTATCCCTGGGGTGAAAAGCAGCATCTATTTAACAGCACACAACAAAATATTGTAGTTGTTTTCTGCAGGCGTATGTAACTTCTAACCTGCTTGATTTAGATGTGATAAAGTTGAATGCTTTTGAGCAGTCCTACTAACCCTCAAAATAAACAGCTTCTTTCCTTTGATTTCTCTCATTTTTCTGAAGTGGTGCAAAACGATAATGTTAATGGCTTCTGATATAATTTAACAGGTGGTTGAGATTGTCACACAAACCTCCCTCATCATAGGCAATGTACTGGTTGGTTCTTCATATTTAGTTCAAGTACGGTGCAAGAGTCTTCATGGTCCAGGATTCTGGAGTGATTGGAGCACACCTTATAATTTAAATGCAGAAGGTATGTCCTTTACAATAATTTAAATAGCCATTGTTAGGACTGGAATAGATATTTCTGGCCTATTTTGTTTTGTGGAAATAAATGTGTGCATATATTATTTGATATGTATTACACATGGATAAAGTGTATATACTCTTTCTACTACAAAATCCTACAGCACATGTAGGCAACAAAGGTGGATAGTAAATGCTATAAATAGTGCACCAAAATTTGGCTACACCTAAAGGTTCCATTGTCATTATGCCAACCCAAAATAGTATTCAGAGGAGCCTCCCATCCTTCAGTGAGGAGCCTTTACTAAGTTTAAGTAATGCAATTTAAACTCACTTTTTTAGCAGATGGTATAAGTAAATCAGTTTCAGAACTGGCACAAACTTGCATGTAGAATTCAAAATTTTAAAAGTTTATTACACACACCAATTAGGCGAATAACTTGAGTTATGAAAGCACAGATTCCTGACACGTTGCATGGTAATGGCTCCTCTGAGGCCAATGAGATGAGTTGGGTCAAAGGGGGTTCCACTGAAAGAATATACCTTAATGCCTCTTGTATTCTATTGTTAAAGCCTACTGTGAGAGAGAGAATTTATTTGGCAACTCATTATCCCTTCATCTTGATTGCTCATTTATATTGACAGTGTTGCCAACTCCGAATGTTCAAAAATCATGAGTCAGCCTCACCAAAAATCACGAGATTGGCTTTAAAATCTTGCGATTATGTAAAAATAATAGATTTGGTGTTCTTTTTATTTGCCTCTGCTTTTTGAGCCTTTAGGATGCACTGAGGTTACATTTTGAAGCTTTCTCTGGAGCCAGAGGGGTCAGAAACTTTACTTATTCTTTAAAAATGAAGTCTGAAATCATCAAATGTCCACTTGACTCCAGGAGCTGGGGTTTAAGGAAAACAATAATTATCATGAGACTTATGACAAAATCATGAGAATTAGCAACACTGTATTGTAAATTGTCCTGTATGGTCAGTCTGGGGATGCTGACAATTTTCTTGCATTGTGTTTCCCCTGTTCTTTTCAAGAGGGGAGACCTGTTGGGGGGGAGGGAAGAAAGGGGGTCTGAAACCCAGAAAATAAGCACTTGAATCAGATGGTTGTAGACAATGTTATTGTGTATACAAAACATGTCAAGTAAGGTCTTTTATGAAAGCTTGTAATGTCGTGAACTTGATAGTCATTAGGAGATTTATATACAGGTTCTGGTTCTGAATGCATGCATGTATATATGTGTCGCAAATTGTAATTGTAACTATATTAACTACAGCGTCACCTCCCAGTAGTGTGGTGAGGCAATCTGCCAGGGCTAGGCCAGGTATTTACAGGAAACCGGCTCCAAGCACCTAGCATTGTCCAGCCAGGAAGCAACCATGGCAGACCATTAAAGTTAATGGAAAATATTGAAACAACTTGAAACTGAAAAGAAAATCCACATCTGGGAAAATCCTGTTCTGTATAACCAGGAATTTCCATAGTCTGAGAACAAGGGGGAAAAATAACAAACCTGCAAATGCTGTTAAAAGGGAAGGTATTTGGCATACAGGCTATCCAGAAATGGAGGGCTAAACTCTAAGCGGGGTGCTGTCTGTGAAGCACTGGATCCCCTCTAGGACAGAGGGCACACTGGGAAACTGTTCTGGGGCAATAGGTAACTTGTGTTTAGAAAAGGGAATTGAGCTAAAGTAAAAGGGTAAAGCCAGAGATTTCCTCTTTGTTTTCTGTGCAACTTGTATGTGTTTGTTTTTCCTCACTGTTTTATCTTTAAATCTATGATATTTCTATTAAATAAAGTTTTTGTTTACTTTTACCTCAAGCACATCTCTGTTCAACAGTGTGGAGTGTATGTGCCAAAGTGAACTGATAATTGGGGGCAAGTTTCACACCTTTGGGTGTGACGAACCAGAGGGGAAAAGTCTGTGTGTCTGGTAGTTAAGAACTCGGGGAGATAGATCTGCGAGGACTCGGGACCAGAAGGGATTGTTGAGGTCACTCTACGAGAATTAAGTAGGCTGGTGGAAGCCAGAGTGGGACCTAATCTTTGTCAGCTGGCTACTGGTGTCAAAATGCTCAGCCATAGCAGCATATCATTACGTTACAAAGCGGGGGGTGACAACACCTTAATGGGCTGGTGATCCCAAGAACATTATAGGGGTGTAGTCATTGCCGAAATTGCACCCCAATATCTGTGAACAGAGGTTCACGCTCCAACCACTTGCAATAACAGATTGTAATGGACTCAGAAACAAGGGAGCAAAGTACAAGTTTATTATTTTCTTCTGTTTATTTTGGGTTAAGAGAAATAGAACAAAGAAAGGGGGAAATGAGCCAGTTAGAATCCTTGGACACAATGGATAAAAAGCATCTTGGGAGCTTATGTTAGAAATATGGTTTACCCCAGAAGGGGAAATCAGCGGAGGATCTGAAAACCTGACTCATGAAGTATTCTGAGCAGAAGGCGAGAGAGGACGCAGGGTTGGGAAACCAGCCAGACTTTACTTCCCTACAGGAGATGGCCGCTCTGGTAGAGCTGACCAAATAACAGCTCTGCAGAGACAAGGAGGCGTATGAGCAGCAGATGCAGATGGCAGAGCTCAGAATGCTAGAGAGGAAAGCCATCAAAGAGGCAGAGAAGCGGGCCCACCAGAGATGAATTAAGGCAATCCAGGCCGCCCAGGCCAAAGAGGAGGCAGTGGAGTAGGCCCATTAGTGTGCTTTCCATGTGGACGCACGCTGGTCAAAGTGTTCTAAACTGGGTGCCTCAAATTAACCTGATTTTTCCAGAGGGAGTGGTCTTCAAAGAGAGTTGTCACCTTCTGATTATTAGGTCAGGTACTTAGCTACCTAATTCCATATTTATGCACCTAACTTTAGGCACTCACATTTGGAAACTTACACTGTACCTCTATACATGGTGTGTGTGTGTGTGTGTACATATATACCTTCAGAGAGATTATATGCACATATAAAAATACAAATATGTACAGTTCATGGAAAACACTGAGATGCAGTAGATAATTTCTCAATTTAATATTTTATTGTAGGGTATTAATTGTTTTAAACACATTTCACTGGCCAAAAATCATGTTGTGGTAAGCATGATAACAACCTTAAAGAGAGTAATTTCTTCTCTGCAGGGAGCTCAAATTTGCCTAGTCTCCCAATGACTAATGTTAGCATTAACCAATGGAAGAACAGTAAAACCAGCAGGATAGTTGGTAGCAACAAAGAGGCTGCTTTGCATTCATGCAAGCACATTAACACTGGGAGTACAAAATGCTGAAATCAGGCAGTTATATTTTTATACAACTGATTAGCATTATACTCTGATCTGTATTTAATCGGAAAGTCTATGTTGATGACAAAGAGAGAGTGCTTTGCACCACTGTTCAAGAGACTGTATTTTGGGAGCATCTTGGTCCATTATGAGTGTAATTATTCCTTGCGATACTAAGGAGAATTGTTCAGTTGATGCATGTCTTCAGCCTATTATATGCTCTTTGCATATAAGCATATATATAGGTCCAAATAGTTGAGTGGATGGATTTTTCAAAATAAACTTTAAAATATGGATCTTCTCACCATGATGTATACATTTTTAACTGAGCGCACATGCACCTTTGTAGTGTGTGATTGTACAATATATTTTGTATGTGTTTTGCATGACTAGTGCTCTATAGATGGGCCTGTTCTATATTGCAAACTCTTGTCACAACACTGAAATTATTACTGTTTTTCTAACGTTTGAAAGAACGCCTATTTACAGAGGCTTTTTATGTTAAAGTCAGCACACTGAAGTATAATGTCTAACTCTTCGTGCAGCTTGCAGTTTACCAGCATTTCCTTTCCACTTGCCAACACAGTTGCCCATTCACTTGTGCAACTGCATGTTTGTGTATGTAACATAGGTGCACCCTCCTTAAAATGTACTCCCTGTGTAAGATAATACAGCATGTTATATGACCTTGCATTTGTTTCATTGCATTTATTCCCTCATGAGTAAGGATATTAAAGGTGAGAGTCCATGTAGATAAAAATGTTCAAATAGATAAAAAGAATGATAAAATAAGAAGTCATGGGTTGTTTCTTCTTCTGCTGTCCCTGTACCCTGCAACCCTCATTAAATTGTAAGAGTTGGACTCCTGTGTTTAGGAGCAAGATTTTGATAGCAATAAGCATTTCTGATTGTCCTATAAAATTTTGTAAAGCTCCCTTTTTGTGTGACGTTTCATATCTCTTAAAGTTTCTTTTGCTGTTTTTTTTTCTTTTCCTGTAACAGATGTCATGTATTTCCCTCCAAGGATACTGACAAGTGTTGGTTCTAATGTTTCCTTTCATTGCCTCTATAATGACAAAAACAAGATGATTTTGTCCAAGAAGATTGTTTGGTGGCTGAATTTAGCAGAAGAAATCCCAGTGAGACAGTATACACTTGTGAATGATCGTGTCAGCAGAGTTACTCTTTTCAACTTGAATGCAACAAAACCTAGAGGAAAATTCTTCTATAATGCATTGTACTGTTGTAATCAAAACAGGGAATGTCATCATCGATATGCTGAATTATATGTAGTAGGTAAGATTCCGGATAACTTCACTTTTTTTTTTTTTATAAACTTCAGTATACTTGATATTTTCAAGTCAGAACATTTCAGTTTATGATTCCAAAAAGCTTTTTCAGGCACCAGTGATTTATAATGCATAGTTTTGTCTCCTTATGTTTTATCATTATTTGTATTTTAATATTTTTAATGTGTTTTAAATAGATGTCAATATCAATATCACATGTGAAACTGATGGGTACTTAACTAAAATGACTTGCAGATGGTCCGCAAACACAAATACATTGCTTGTGGGGAGTTCTTTACAGTTAAAATACTACAGGTGTGTATAGTTTTTAATGTATTATATTTGTTTGGAAATTGTTACTTTGGAAATATTAATGCAGTAATAGATGCTCAACAGAAGTGAATATAAAATCTGCTGAGCCATTGTGGATCAAACTTTCACCTGGTCTTCCAGCTGGCTTCCAAAATGGAACCCATAGGTTCCAGCAAATCTCACGTGTTCACAAATTAGGTCATAAGAAATCAAAGTACCCAGTATGGGGCTTGTATTTGCTCATTATTCAGCACCTGCAAAACTTTTGGACACAATTTTGGAGGCCAACTTTGAAAAGGTGGACAAAACGTGTTTAAAAACTAAAGCAGAAAATATAACTAAATAACTGCTGTGAGAATTTGGTTTGATTCCACTGGCAGCAGGGCTGAGTCCTGGCAGAGCAAACTAATATACCTTTTAAGCCTTCTGTTTTCTTTCAAACTCTGTTCCAGTTTTGCAATATAAATCCCCACCTTGCTTTGCCACAATGGATTTTGATTTGTATGGCTTTTCACAATGGGAAAATTTGCTTGAATCATAATTTGTGTGACCGAGACTAGTTGTTCATGTGTATTAAATTACATCCAACTTTCCACACATACATGGTGATTAAATATCTGATGGCAGAATTTGGCTCACTCCAAAAGAAAAAGATCTTGTTCAGATTGTTACTTTACAGTTTTAACAGCTTTAGTGGCTGGAGTAGTTTTCAGTTTGCTACTCATATTCATGGTCTAATTTTTCAGAAGGTTTGGCCTGGCCCTTGAGTCTTATAGTTGAACTGGAAAGAACATGCAATCTTAGGACCAAATTTTGATCTCTGCTATGCCAGTGAAGATACTGGAATCTTCATAGATGTTCTCTGGTGTAACAAATTTGGTCTCTTGCTTAGAGACATTTGGTCAATAGAATTCAAATCCCTGCTGCAAAGCTGGGGAAGCGAGGTTCTGTTCAGACCCAGTTTTCCTCTTGTTCCTGCAGTTTCCCCCTTATTTCCTAATTCAAAACAATTCTGAGCATCCACACTAGGTAGGACCTAAGAGGTGGGTTTCCTATTTGCAGAAGTGGAGATCATTTCACCACAGAAGTTAGAACAATGCTCCATATATCCTAAACCCTTTCCCCTACATCAGCTTCTCCAGCCACTGGTTCTTTTCTGAAGTCATGATTACTTTTTCCTGTCATCCCCTGGTACCAAATAATTTCAGAGAATGTCATATGTTTTTGTCTCTTCCTTAGGTCCCCAGAGCTTTCATTTTTGTCTGTCCTTAGGACAGAGTAGAAATGCTACTAGGGGGAAAATCTGTGGCATAGTTGATGCACCATTCATACCTATGTGCCAGGAGCGCCCTATGAAAAGGTCTCTCTCACATCATCTCATAATTTTAAACACAAAAGATTCCTATAACTGCGCTAGTACTTGGATAAATAAAATGGAAAAACAAAACCTCCCTGAGTAGAAATCATTGGATTTGTTCCCTATTGGACTAGATCAGACATGTGAGAATCCTTTTGGCAAAGAAGCTTAAATCAGCATTTAAGGTCCAATCCTGCAAAGCCCCGATTCAGGAAAGCTTAAATGCTTTCTTGAATAGGGATGGATTTAACTGAATTGGGCCCCACAGTGTGAAGTGTGAGCGATTCCACTGAGCTCAACAGTATTTGTAGGATTGGACCATAAATACTAAGTGATAGGCACTATAGTGAAGCCTTTCATGGATGGAACAATAAATAGAACCCTTAGGATTTCATATGGAAACCTTTTCTAGGACTATATTGTGACTAGTTGATTCCTGGGCTAAATGTTGCCTTGACTATCTGCTAGAGCCACTTATGTTCGAATAAATACCTTTTCATGCTCTCCCCCTTTCCTTCCCTCATCTTTCCATGTTGGTCTCAAACATGTCTGATAAATTTGCTTGAGAGAAATGGTGTTTCCTAATATCTATAATCTCATTAGAGGTCAATGCATAGGTCAGGCACTGACACGAACGCGGTGTATAAGTGCATACCAGCTTTTTTGTTGGTTTGTTTTTGTTTTGATTCTATTGAAGTTTTATTTAAAAAAATCTAAATGAGAAGAAAACATTGTGTGAGAATAAAATAGAAAATAAATTTTTAAAAAACTGACTAATGGCAATATTTCCAGGTTCTTTAAAACAACAGACAACTTTATTTTCAAGAGTTGCGTGCAACATTGTGAACAAGAACACACAATGTAACTGGCCAGCAATAATCTAGAAACCTAAGAGAAATTGACGACTCTGTTTTCACTGCGCAAACTGAATGAAATGCCAGATTTAAGCAGCCACCATAAATATTTAAGAATAAACTTTGATTTGAAAAATTCCTTCTGTTTTAGTAATCTAAGGTGGTGATATTAGAAACACTGTGAAGATAATTTAATATATAGAAATGGCTATGTAGTGCTTATCAGTGTCCTTTAGGGGGTATACAAGGCCATCCTCAAAATTGGAGTCTAAAGGTTAGAGTTAAACATTCTATATTTGCATCAATCCTGTTTTTTGCCAGAAGCATGAATCTGTTGTGCTAGTTTCTGTTTTCCTCACAATTGTTGATGCAATTAAAATGTTGCAAATAAAATCCTATTGTACACTCTAGTGTGATACAATATTTTGCCCTTGCACTGTTTGATGGGGCTGTTATTCCACCCTCCTCTACCAATCAGCACTGCCAACAAAAACAGCACACACCATCTAATAAAAATCGAGAATGATGGGGTAAATTTTTAGAGCAGAATGTAGCGATTTACTATGCGGTCGTTTTATTGACATTAACAGGAGAAATATAACTAAATGTACCTCTTAGGGTCCAATTAAATAACCAGTTACATCTCTCGTGGATAGGTCAAAAAGCCTGAGCTCCACAGGCCTGGATGCAAATTCTAGTATCATAGGGAAAATTTGAAAACATTCCTCTCTTCATTAGCCACAAAATGTCACTTTGAGCATTTTGCACCACCCCCACACCCAGTTCACACTTTGTGATTCATCTGAAGCTGATAGCTATGTATGCTTTTGGGCAGCCTGTTAGGATTTATTTTAACACCACCATACCGAGTAGATTTTTAAAGGGGATTTCATTCTCATGGAGCTCCAGCCATGTGTGTCCAGTTAGGCAGAATAACCCATCACACATCAATTGCACTTTGGGAGTCAGACCCTCAGCAGGCACAAATCAGCATATGCTCATTGAAGTCAATGGAACTATATTCATTTGCACCAGCTGGGGATCTGAACCAGGATGTTTACCTCTAACACCTGCTCCTCAAGTTTTCTGCCATTAGTGTGCCTGCTTCCTGGCTCTTTTCCTGGCTTGTTTAACTTTTAAGCTAAACTAAACTAAGGCTACATTAATGCTGACTGAGAATGTCCATACGTGGGTTTAATGGAGTTTAACAAATCCACTTCAAATTCACACCTGTAGTTAATTTGGATAAACTTTTCTGTGTGTCCCCATGTAGACAAGCCCTTAGCTGTTTTCTCTTGTTGCACTATGTCCCCAAGAGGTCTTGCAGGGGGAAGAGCTGGTTGTTTGGTTCCCACATCACAACAGCCCCTCTGCTCCATTCCCCACTCCTTTTATGTATTGCAGGCCGAGGGAACAGGGGTCCAATAGAAGAAATGGAGTGGACCTGGTGGATTGGATGATCAACACTTTTGCACCACAGGCAGGAGGGGAGGAAGGGACAGGAAGAGAAAAGAGATGGGAAGTACAGAAGAACTAAGGGGGAGGGATAGCTCAGTGGTTTGAGCATTGGCCTGCTAAACCAAGGGTTGTGAGTTCAATCCTTGAGGGGGCCATTTAGGAATATGGGGCAAAAATTGGGGATTGGTCCTGCTTTGAGCAGGGGGTTGGACTAGATGACCTCCTAAGGTCCCTTCCAACCCTGATATTCTATGATTCTAAGAGGAGGGAAAGGGAAGGAATAGGATAAGAGACCTGTGAATGAGGGAAATACAGAGATGGAAGGAAGTGAAAGAGAATGGGAAATTTAGGACGAGTCTAGAGGAAGGGGAAATGGATGGAGAAGGAAAAGAAAAGGACATAACTAAGAAGGAAGGGAGGGGTAAATGCACAAGGGGTGTGGAAGAGAGAACCAATGAGAGAAATTGTCAGACATTTCAGGTGTTAGTATTTCACTTTTTTTGAGAGTCTTTAAGCCACCGTGCAGCATCAGAAGTTTGAACAATATGGTCTAATGTACCTTATAACTGGCAATGGAGAGCCAAATTTTGATATTCTGTTTTGTCCCAATGGCCATTCCAGTTAGTGCTTTTGCCGTGTCCCAAATTCACCTCCACATCCTTGATTGCCCTTCTAGAATAGGAGAACTTACTTCCCTTCCTACAATTGAACAGGTAATTGGGACATAGAAGGAAATCTACTGTATTAGTGTGTCTTACATACTTGGTGTCAGAAATCAACAAGACAGTTGGCTATAGAAGGGCTCTAATGGGGCACAGAATTATGGGGTTTTATTCTGAAAAACGATAACTGAGTAAGCACTGACCACCACACTGGCAGGAGAAGCTCTTTCTCCCTTATTTTATTTCTTTATTTTAATGAATGTTCAGTTCTTCTAAAGTGCTGAATTGATAGCTCTGGAAACGGAAGTCCTCCAAGTATCCAAAGAGACCTGGCTAGGGTGATTCATGCATTTGTGATCTCTGGGCTTTATTATCCCAACTCATTGTATCTAGGAGAGAAGCCACACCCCTGGGAAAAACTCCCAGTGGCGCCAAATGCAGCAGCCTATCTGCTTAGCAATACTGGTCTCTGTGAACAGGTTGCTGCTCTCTGTACTGTCTCCCCATTCAACAGAGAGTCCAGGTCAAGGTGTTTTGTCCTGATAGCTAGGGCCCTACCAAATTCACCGTCCATTTTGGTCAATTTCATGGTCATAGGATTTTAAAAATTGTAAATTTCACGATTTCAGCTATTTAAATCTGAAATTTCATGGTGTTGTAATTGTAGGGCTCCTGACCCAAAAAGGAGTTGGGGTGGGGGTGGTCATGGTACTGTAACCCTTCCTTCTGCACTGCTGTTTGCGGCGGCGCTGCCTTCAGAGCTGGAGAGAGGTGGCTAATGGCCAGGAGCCCAGCTCTGAAGGCAGAGCTGCCATCAGCACCAGCGCAGAAGGAAGGCTGGCATGGTATGGTCTGGCCACCCTTACTTTGGCACTGCTGCCTGCAGCGCTGGGCCCTCGGACAGCAGCCGCCACTCTCTGGCCACCCATCTGTGAGGGCGGCAGCAGCGCAGAAGTAAGGGTGACGTGGTACGGTATTGCCACCCTTATTTCTGCGCTGCTGCTGGCGGCGTGCTGCTCTCAGAGTTGGGTTCCCAGCAAGCAGCCACCGCGCTCCGGCTGCCCAGCTCTGAAGGCAGCGTAGAAGTAATAGTGGCAATACTGTGACCCGCCCTAAAATAACCTTGCAACCCCACCCCCCGCAGTACCCTTGTGGGTCAGGACCCCAATTTGAGAAAAGCTGGTTTCCCCTGTGAAATCTGTATAGTATACGTTAAGAGTACACTAAAGACCTGATTTCATGGGGGGAGACCAGATTTCACGGTCCATGATGCGTTTTTCATGGCCAGGAATTTGGTAGGGCCCTATTGATAGTCAAAGCCCTCTATGCGATTGGCCCTAGCTATTAAGGAGGTTGGTTCTTTATGATCATGACCTCCCACCAAAGCTACATTCCACTGGCCCAATGAAACTGTCATTCACTAGGGAGAGGCTCTTGAGTGCAGGCAACAGAACTGCCCCAGGTGCTGGAACTAGACAATGAAGTTCACGGTCACGGGAGGGAGAAAGCCCAGGCACACACAGAACTAAATGTGCAAATCCTATTTTGACTCAACTTTACCTCAGTAATTTCATCACTTCCCCCGCCCTCTCCCAGCACATACGCACACACACTCACCCTCCCCAGGAACTCACTATGCAATTTCTCCTGGAGGTTGGGAAGGAAGGAAGAAAGAGATTGTTCTTAGTGCTTCAGTTTTTAAATACATGGGAGGTGGTTGGATTCTACAGAAATGGTGGGAAGGGAGTCCTATCAATCTCTACATCAAGTTTAAAAAAAGTGTAAACTCTTAACACTACACTGCTAGCATTCTTAACTCTGCCCTGGAGGAAATACTTCTGGAACTCAGAAAGTAATTCATTATCCATGGGGCCTTTCAGGGCCCGATCCAAATCCCATTGACTTCAATGGAAGGACTCCTATTGACTTTAGTGAGCCTTGGATCAGGCCCAAACTCCTTTTCCTCTCTGCCGACACCACCCAAAAAGTTGCCAGTTAATGAGTGGGAAAATGTGTAGGTGATCAAGTGCTGTGAAAATCCTGTCTTCTAGGTCGTCAACTTATTTTACATAGGCCACAGCAACAGCCATAACTGCTTTCAGTCAGGCATGGGCTAGGTTTGAAGTGGTAAACTCGAGGAAGAATCTTTGGTGTCTCATTCCCATATTGCCTTGAGCCATGGAGTGCAATTTTAATTAAACCAAGCAAACCCCCAAACACTGAGTCAAGAAGATTATAACAGTTCTAATTTTGTAAGCACAGCTTGGACACCAAGAGGATAAAATATTTTTCCCTTTGTTTAATTGAAAGTATTATTTCCTTTTTATGTTTCAATGTTACTTTGAAAAGGATGATCCTCTACTGTAATTTTGGGGAGAGTAGGAGAAGAGTGCAGTTGATAAAGAAATGTTATTATGACTTTGGCTTAAAACATGGCATGTGAAGTTCAAGATTTCCAAGCAGTATTATTTCTAAGCCTCAGCATGACAGCATTTTCTTTACTTTTCTTTGGAGTTTTATTCATAACAGAAACAGCTCTTTGTTGAAAATTATTAATTGAATATTTTCATCTCTTTTAAGGAGTAGTATCTATTGTTCTGACTTCCCAAGTATTCCTCCAAAGTCCGAGGCAAAAGAGTGCCATTTACAGAGGAATCATTATTACGAGTGTACATTTCAGCCTATTTTTCTTTTATCTGGATATACCATGTGGATAGAGATAAAGCATCAACTAGGAACACTTGAATCCCCACCAACCTGTGTCATTCCAGCAGATGTGGGTATGTCGAAATATTTCTTTAATATCTTTTTTCTTCCAATAGTGGTCTTGGACAGCAATGTCTATATGCTGTAGCTGGAGCTCCAAGGTCCTGATTGTAAGACCACTGAAGTCAATGAGACCCTTTCCATTGACTTCAGTGGGCTTTGGATGAGGCCTTAACTTCACACAATACGTTTTCAGCTGAAAGAACCAGTTTTATGTGTTTATCAATTTGTGGCCATTGCAGACACATTTACAAGAAAGACTGGATTTTAAAAAAGGTGGTTAGTTTTTGTGGGTTTTTTTTTAATTCATGGCATGCAAAAAAGTGCATTTTCAATTATTAGTGGTATGGAAAGGAAGGAATCCTCTCCGACCTTACCTTGAAGTCCCTCCATAGCTCTGCCTCTCTCTGTGCTTGCTCTTATCTTATTGTGTTGTCCCATGTCCTCTACTGTGCCAGTGATGTCTGTCTTGTTTTTCTGTTACTTTCTACTACAAATGTCTCTTACGCTTTCTTCCATGCTGCCTTAAGCATGGAACTGCCTGCCTGAATTGGTCCATAAAGGTTATTGACTACTTTTTCAAACCCTCCTCCAGACACACCTCTGCTCTGAGGTTTACAAGAAATTACCCAGGCACAGATGTCTACGTTTTGTGGCTGCTCGGGGTAGCTGATGGCCTTTAAATAAATAAAAAGATAAAAATAAAAAAATACAAAGAAGATGAAGTTTAGCTGGAGCAACTAGGAATCACTGAGCAGTTGGCTATTACCTCTGTAACTGCAATTCTTATTTCCCCTTTCCTCCTTTTGTTTGTCAGACTCACTTGTCACACCTTGTCTCAAATTACATTGAAAGCTTTTAGGGTCAGGGACTGTCTCTTACTGTGCTTGTAGAATGCCGTGCACAGTGGGACCAAAATCCTGACTGGGGCCTCTAGGCACAGTACAAAGGAAAACTAATAATGCTAACCTGAAAGAGAATTGATCACCTAGTTTCATTCACAGGCTGATGATGTTCACTGGACAGTGTTTCATCTGATGTATATTTCTAAACAGACCCCAACTAATATTTCAAGATTAGTACTAAGGAGAGGGAATAATTATACATCCACGTAGAAACCGTGTGGCAAACTCATGTTGGAGTGACTTCAGGGACCATGGGTGAGTCGGGCCCCACGGATTTGAATGTTTGACTTTCACTCAAATGTTACAGGGTTCACATTTGCTTAGAAGAGGCTTTAAAAAAGGAGCAGAAATAGAAAAGAGAAGAGAGACTACTGAAAAAATAAACTATAAATACTAAAAGGAGTACTTGTGGTACCTTAGAGACTGGCATAAGCTTTTGTGAGCTACAGCTCACTTCATCAGATGAAGTGAGCTGTAGCTCACAAAAGCTGATGCTCAAATAAATTTGTTAGTCTCTAAGGTGCCACAAGTACTCCTTTTCTTTTTGTGGATACAGACTAACATGGCTGCTACTCTGAAAACTATACACAGAGGCACTCATTCACCTCAGTATAGCTTTTGGGGGGAAATATGAATGTATCCCTGCATAGCACAGAGTTCCATTCAAACCTCAAACCTTTCCCCATCCCTAATTATGTGCTACCTACTCCTGTAACAACTGATCTATCCCTAAATACCTGTTGAAAATATAGGGTTTTATGCCTGTTTTAATATCTATGCTATGCATCTGTATATTTTCAGATCTTCTCTTAATTCTCTGCTATGAAGGTTAATAACACACATGCTCCCAAAAAGGTTGCACTCCAAAGTGATACTGGGGAACTGAGCTTTTTGACAGTTCTGCTTTGGGGGCTCAAGTTTTGGCATGTGAGAAGAAACTGCTAGTGAAAACCAATGTTTTGTGATTGACTTCTTCCTGATTGCTCAGCCGGACTGACATAAGAACCATAAAGAGTCTGTGCCTTGAATTTCTTCTAGGCTTAAATTAAAAAAAACAAAACAGCAAATTAAAAACCCCCAAATGAATAAACATTTCTGTGAAGGCCTTGTGCCCCATATTATTACCTTGAACATTTCATTGTATAGGTCCTAGACTCCCTGGTAGATTAGATTGTTGATCTAGCAAAACACTTAAACACGTGTAACTTTAAGCACGTGTGTGTTCCCATTAAAGCCAATGGGACTCTTCATGTGCTCAAGTGCTTTTGCTATTTCAGGGCCTTACTAAGGTTTCCCCATAGCACCTTTGCAGCAAGCGGTATCCCTTAAGTGGATTTTTTTGATACAGGTGTAGACTGCAGGTTCAACAAACTTTCTTCTGTAACATTAACAGTATACTTTGCTTAAACTTGTCTTGAGGCTACAATGTCTGCTAGGAGTTTTCAGGAATGGTGCCTTGTAAAGTCTACAGAGAAGGTTTACAGTTTGGCCTAGGACTCACCTAGGTCTTAAGCCCCACGTAGGTTTTCCAAAGGACAAAAGAAAGAGTTTTGTATGGGGCAAATTTGTGCTTCACAGAATTTCTGCCCAAATATTTTTCACACATTATATGAAAGCAGAAATAGCATTTTCCCACCCAGCTCTAGTCAATATTTGAAACAAGCACTTCCCTCTTTTTTCCAACTAGACTGTTAAAGTACAGCAAGCATAGAACAGAGTAAAATATTGTGGGATGGTCTACACTACAGCGGGGATCGATGCTCTGAGATCTATCCACTGGCGGTCGATTTAGCGGGTCTAGTAAAGACCCACCAAATTGACTGCAGATCGCTCTCCAGTCGACCCCTGTACTCTACCCCCGACAAGAAGAGTAAGGCAAGTCAATGGGAAATTTTCTTCTGTCGACCTCCCCGCGGTGTAGATCCACGGTAACTCGACCTAAGGTATGTCGACTCCAGCTACGTTATTCATGTAGCTGGAGTTGCGTAGCGTAGTTCGACTTACTGCAGTCATGTAGACATAGCCTCTGTTATGGGAGGAGAAGACCAAATCCACCCAGATAGTAAGACTTCAGCATAAATTAAACCAAATCTTCCATTGCTAGCTAAAATTTAAATGGAGGGAACAATGACCAAAGGAATTGCCCAAGGAACAACCCCAATACATTATGGCCATACCACTTCCCTAAGAGGTTTTGGGATGTAGAAATGTGTTTTACGTTTTGCTTTTTGTATTTGGTTTTCCCAAGCGCTACAGAGACAACAAGTTAATGAATGATAGTACAGTGACAGTGTGAGCTAACAATGTGGTCATTTTTGGAGTTCACAAATAGTTTTGAGCATTCAAACATATTTAAACAAGGGCAGTTCAAGGAGGTGGCCCTTTCTAGTTCAAAAACATAATTCAGTCTTTTCATCCTGTTTTGACAAATGTGTTTGCAGATTCTGTTGAAGTTGACGTTAGCGACACTGACATATTGTAATCCTGGCCTTCAATGCTCTTTCTCAGATACTTGTGTACCATTGCACATAGTGGAGTATGCAGGGCTGTGTTGGTCCTGTACTTATACTGCCTATACAATGTGCCAAAAGAATCTTGCACTTGCCAACACAGCAGCTGCAAGTTACTAAAGTAATCAGACATCAAGAATTATAACATTCAAAAATCAGTCGGAGAACATTTCAGCCTCCCTGGTCACTCAATTACAGACTAAAAGTCACAATTCTTCAACAAAAAAACTTCAAAAACAGACTCCAACGAGAAACTGCAGAACTGGAATTAATTTGCAAACTGGACACCATTAAATTAGGCTTGAATAAGGACTGGGAGTGAATGGGTCATTACACAAAGTAAAAACTATTTCCCCATGCTAATTTCCCCCCCTACTGTTACTCACACCTTCTTGTCAACTGTTTGAAATGGACCATCCTGATTATCACTACAAAAGTTTTTTTCTTCTGCTGATAATAGCCCACCTTAATTGATTAGTCTCGTTAGAGTTGGTATGGCAACATCCATTTTTTCATGTTCTCTGTGTATATATATATCTTCCTGTTGTATTTTCCACTGCATGCATCTGATGAAGTGGGCTTTAGCCCATGAAAGCTTATGCTCAAATAAATTCGTTAGTCTCTAACATGCCACAAGTACTCCTCATTCTTTTTGCTGATACAGACTAACACGACTATCGCTCTAAAGTAATTTAAGTTCTTAGTAGGATCTAACAGATCAAATATCCATTAGCTTTCAGGCAGAGGAGAGTACTCCTAGGATACATACTGTACATCGAGTAGTGCTGGCAAATGAAGGCTTTCAGATATACTTGGCCTGAAGAGTTTTTAAAAGTCTGAGTTATACACTCATGTCATGAAAATAAAGGAAAGGGTAACCACCTTTCTGTATGCGGTGCTATAAAATCCCTCCTGGCCAGAGGCAGAACCCTTTCACCTGTAAAGGGTTAAGAAGCTAAGATAACCTCGCTGGCACCTGACCAAAATGACCAATGAGGAGATAAGGTACTTCCAAAGCTGGAGTGGGGGGAAAGCAAAGGGTCTGTCTGTCTGTGTGATGCTTTTGCCGGGAACGGATGAGGAATGCAGCCTCAGAAACTCTGTTAAGTTAGTAAGTAATCTAGCTAGAAATGCGTTAGATTTCCTTTTGTTAAATGGCTGGTAAAATAAGCTGTGCTGAATGGAATGTATATTCCTGTTTTTGTGTCTTTTTGTAACTTAAGGTTTTGCCTAAAGGGATTCTCTATGTTTTGAATCTGATTACCGTGAAAGGTATTTACCATCCTGATTTTACAGAGGTGATTCTTTTACTTTTTCTTTAATTAAAATTCTTCTTTTAAGAACCTGATTGCTTTTTCATTGTTCTTAAGACCTAAGGGTTTGGGTCTGTGTTCACCTATGCAAATTGGTGAGGATTTTTTATCAAGCCTTCCCCAGGAAAGGGGGTGTAGGGTTTGGGGGAATATTTTGGGGGAAGACGTCTCCAAGTGGGCTCTTTCCCTGTTCTTTGTTTAACACGCTTGGTGGTGGCAGCATAGGGTTCGAGGACAAGGCAAAGTTTGTACCTTGGGGAAGTTTTTAACCTAAGCTGGTAAGAAT